AAAGGTATAAGGAAGTATCCTAGTGCAACCTTGCTTAATTCTCCTCTCTACCCCCAACTCATGTGCACATTTGTATGATCGGTAATTCTTGAAAGTCACTCACTTGTCTTGCTTGTGATTTATATCCCGATGAGTTGACTTGGGCAATAAAAACATTGGTTTTGGTGTGTATTGATCACCTTGATGATGATGATGTGTTATGATAATTTTGGCATGGTTTGTGTGAGTTGTGGGTTAAGCTCAAGGGAAACCCTCACGAGATAAAAACTCGTCCTCTTAGGCGACTTAGGGGTTTAAATTGCTTTTCACTTGTGCTAAAAGTGTTTATGATTCTTGCCATGCGAATTTGTGTTTGTGTTTTCTCTTTAAGTATCTTTTCTTGGTTTGATCATTAGCAAGTAATCTTCCTTCTCGATTTGACATGTTTGTTTTGCTCGAGGACTAGCAAAAGCTTAGCTTGGGGGGATTTGATAACTTGTTATTTGATACGATTTTAGAGTGATTTCGAACCTTGTTTACTTGGTATATTGGCATTTTGGTTCACTTTTACTCTATTTTTGTTCAACTTTTGTGTATTTGTTGGGTTTTTAGGTTCAAAGACGACCATTTGAGGCATTTGGATGATAAACCGAGGTTAGAAGCCGAAACAATGGAGCAAAACCAAAGAAAAGTGAAGATAAAGGCCTTAGAGAGTCTGCACGGACGTGAAAAGTGTAGCACGTTCGTGCAAAAATATTCCAACACGACCAAAAGCTACTGCCTACTGCTTTCAAGGCCTGCACGTCCGTGCAAAGCTCAGCACGTCCGTGCAGGATATTCAGCACGTCCGTGCCTGATCCTGCACGTCCGTGCAGATTGCTCAGCCCAAATCAGTTTCAAAACTGATTCTACTGAACAAGGCCTGCACGTCCGTGCCATATTTGGCACGTCCGTGCAGGATGCCCTGACTAAAACAGTACCTTCTGCCTCCCAGTGCACGCCCGTGCCACCCTGTGCACGCCCGTGCCAACCTCAGCACGTCCGTGCAGGTATAGTTGCACGTCCGTGCCAACCTCAGCACGTCCGTGCTGACCTGTAGTCGTGCCCGACTCTTGTTTTCTCCGTCCTTTTTATTTGGGGGTCTTTATAAATAACCCTTGGAGCTCATTTGTACGGGCGAATTTTTAAGTGCTTCCTCTTAGTTTGCAATTGTAGAAACACAAATATTCTCAAATCATTAGTTAGATTATAATTATTAGCTTGGAAATTTCATTCTCAATCATTGTAGAAGACAAGTTCCACCATTGATATTCAAGTTGAAGCTTCTAGTAACATTTTCTCACTCTTCTCTTCCATTTTAATTGCTTTGATTGTTAATTATCTTGCTTAATTCTTGTATGCTTAGATTGTTATTTAGCTTAATCTTTAGTTAATTCTTGTTCATGAGTTACTTGAAATCCTTAATTGCTTTAATCTCCATGGATTGTGAGTAGTCTAATTTTCTAGGGTTTGGGTAAAACCCTCAATGTAGTCACTAATTACTTGTTGCATGTGTTAATTTGGTAATTGTTGGGTGTTAATTAGTTGAGCTTAAGTGGTTTAATTGCTTAGTTCTTGTATATGGCCATTGCTAGAACTATATCTAAGCTTTCTCAATGAAGGAACGAGAGATGAACTTGAGTTAGCTCCCTTATGCTTAATTGACTTGAAATGCCATGAGAATAGGAATTTCCAGTCAAGGGAATTTTTTGTCATCATGATTATGCTTTAATACTTGTTTTATGCTTTGTAACCACGAGAGTAGGTTGTATTCATAATTCGAGTAATCCCTCTAACTTGAGAGAGTAGTTGGGTGCTTTAGATGACTTCCCCTATATTATCCCCTCAAATTACCATTGTTTGCTACTTGCTAATTGTGATTTGTGATGAAATTTAGTGGTATATCCCAAGCCCTAGAACTCTCTAAATATTGTTAATCTCCCCCTAGCTTTAGTTGACTTGAACTAGCACTTGTTACATAAAACCAAACCAAATTCGACTTCATTTAGCTTATTTATGCGGTAGTATTTCGGTGGTTGATTCAACGCCTCTCTTAGGTTCGACCCTTTCTTACCCTTGCTATTAGCTAGTGAGACCAAGATAGGACTTTATCTTTGGTAGGCTCGACGACGGCCTATCATTCTCTCCCTTTACTTAGCTAATTGCCTTAATATCTCTTCTAAGCTAATTGTCTTAATTTTGCTAAGTGATCTTTCTTCTTAAGTGCCTTCTCTTAAGAGATTTTTCTTAAGTGATCTTTCTTCAATTCTTGAGTGATCTTTCTTCTTTTAAGGTAGTTCGATACTCGATCTTTCTTCTTCTAAGCTAATTGCCTTGATTTTTCTAAGTGATCTTTCTTCTTGAGTGATATTTCTTCTTAAGTTCCTTTTCTTAAGTGATTTTGCTAAGTGATATTTCTTCTTAAGTTCCTTTTCTTAAGTTATTTTGCTAAGTGATCTTTCTTCTTGAATGATCTTTCATCTTTCTTCATTCTTCTTGAGTGATCTTTCTTGAGTGATCCTATTTTGAGTGATCTTTCTTCTTGAGTGATCTTTCTTCTTTTAAGGTAGTTCGATACTCAATCGTTTCATGAGTGATCTTTCTTTTTTTAATGTAGTTCGATACTCGATCATTTCTTGAGTGATTTTGCTAAGTGATGTCTCTTCTTGAGTGATCTTTCTTCTTGAGTGATATTTCTTAATTTCTTTAGTTATCTTGAGTGATCTATTTTTACTTAAGTGAATTTTATTCATAAGTGATTTTTTTTAAGCGCTCTCTCTTTTTCTTTCTAGCATTCTAGTAACTCTTTTTCCAAAGAAAATTCTTCTTATTTTCTTAAGTGATATTTTTTAAAGTGGTTTCCCTCTTTTTGTTAAGTGATCTTTCTTAAGTTATCTATCTCTAGTAATATTTCTTAAGTGTTCTCTCTCTATCTACTAATCTTTATTTCATTTGAGATACTACTAAATTACCTTGGAATTGAATTTGTTAAATACTAACACTATTATACAATTACTCGTTTATTCGAAAGTTTTTTTATGTAACTGTTCTTATTCAAGGATACAATTTCAATAGCTCAAAGATAATACGAATGGAGCCTTAGCTAAGTAATTCCTTCTTAATCCTAATAACTAAATCAATGTAGAATAAATGCAAAGTGAACAAAGTATATATATAGAGTACTACAAGTATATTTCAGCAAAGCAATTAAACTTGTGATCCAAATTGCCCGAAATTTCTTGAGTGATCTTTCTTAGGTGGTCTCTCTCACTCACTCTTTCGTTCTCTCCCTTTACTAAGCCAATTGCCTTAATCTCTCTTCTAAGCTAATTGCCTTAATTTTGCTAAGTGATCTTTCTTCTTAAGTGACTTTTCTTAAGTGATTTTTCTTAAGTGATCTTTCTTTAATTCTTGAGTGATCTTTCTTCTTTTAAGGTAGTTCGATACTCTATCTTTCTTTTTCTAAGATAATTGCCTTGATTTTGCTAAGTGATCTTTCTTCTTGAGTTATCTTTCTTCTTTTAAGGTAGTTCGATACTCGATCTTTCTTCTTCTAAGCTAATTGCCTTGATTTTTCTACGTGATCTTTCTTCTTGAGTGATATTTCTTCTTAATTGCCTTTTCTTAAGTGATTTTGCTAAGTGATCTTTCTTCTTGAATGATCTTTCTTCTTTCATCTTTCTTCATTCTTCTTGAGTGATCTTTCTTGAGTGATCCTTTTTTGAGTGATCTTTCTTCTTGAGTGATCTTTCTTCTTTTAGGGTAGTTCGATACTCGATCTTTCATGAGTGATCTTTCTTTTTTTAATGTAGTTCGATACTCGATCATTTCTTGAGTGATTTTGCTAAGTGATGTCTCTTCTTGAGTGATCTTTCTTCTTTCTTCTTGAGTGATCTTTCTTAATTTCTTAAGTGATCTTGAGTAATCTTTTTTTACTTAAGTGAATTTTATTCATAAGTGATTTTTTGTAAGAGCTCTCTCTTTTTCTTTCTAGCATTTTAGTAACTCTTTTTCCACTGAAAATTCTTCTTATTTTCTTTAGTGATATTTTTTAAGTGGTCTCCCTCTTTTTGTTTTGTTAAGTGATCTTTCTTAAGTTGTCTCTCTCTAGTAATCTTTCTTAAGTGGTATCTCTCTCTCTAGTAATTTTTATTTCATTTGAGATACTACTGAATTACCTTGGAATTAAATTTATTAAATATTAACACTATTACACAATTAGTCGTTTATTCGAAAGTTTTTTTTTTTTTTTTGAATAACTGTTCTTATTCAAGGATACAATTTCAATAGCTCAAAGATATTACGAATGGAACCTTAGCTAAGTAATTCCTTCTTAATCCTAATAACAAAATCAATGTAGAATAAATGCAAAGTGAGCAAAGTACATATATAGAGTACTACAAGTATAATTCGGCAAAGCAATTAAACTTGTGATCCAAATTGCCCGAAATTTCTTGAGTGATCTTTCTTAAGTTGTCTCTCTCACTCACTCTTTCGTTCTCTCCCTTTACGAAGCTAATTGCCTTAATTTCTCTTCTAAGCTAATTGCCTTGATTTTGCCAAGTGATATTTCTTCTTCAGTGCCTTTTCTTAAGTGATTTTTCTTAAGTGATCTTTCTTCAATTCTTGAGTGATCTTTCTTCTTTTTAGGTAGTTCGATATTCAATCTTTTTTCTTCTAAGCTAATTGTCTTGATTATGCTAAGTGATCTTTTTTCTTGAGTGATCTTTCTTCTTAAATGCCTTTTCTTAAGTGATCTTTTTTCTCAAGTGATCTTTCTTCTTAAATGCCTTTTCTTAAGTGATCTTTCTTCTTGAGTGATCTTTCTTCTTTCATCTTTCTTCATTCTTCTTGAGTGATCTTTCTTGAGTGATCTTTCTTCTTTTAAGGTAGTTCGATACTCAATCATTTCTCGAGTGATCTTTCTTCTTTTTTTCGAAAGTTTTTTTTTTTTGAAAAAGTGTTCTTATTCAAGGATACGATTTCAATAACTCAAAGATATTACGAATGGAACATTAGCTAAGTAATTCCTTCTGAATCCTAATAACAAAATCAATGTAGAATAAATGCAAAGTGAGCAAAGTACATATATAGAGCACTACAAGTATAATTCAGCAAAGCAATTAAACCTGTGATCTAAGGATAATAGCATCCTACTCTAAGGAAAAGAGTGAGGTGGCTAGTAAGATTGAAGCTCCCTGGTGGCACATATAATTGTGCGCCACCCTTGTCAGCAACAGAGTTTAGATAGATAATTGCATTTTGAAACGCTCCCGTATTCAATGTTTTTCCATCTCCAACCGCGCCAAACTCCACAATGTTTACACTATGAGGTATATGGTCCAATTTGAGCTTGTGGCTGCATTGTTCTTTGCTATCATTACCGAGTACTACAATTACATTGCCAAGCACGGATAGCAGAAGCTATGTCACCTTTAAAGGAACAGAAAAAATGATAAAATGTTAATTAAACAAACTTTCATTCATTATCATATAGAATTACAGGAATCAACCTTCAAAAACAGAACCATTGCATAATGCAGGCCAGTAACCAAAGCATCCAAGCTTGAATGACCAATAAACTTCATTCAAACAGCAAAAAGACAGAAAGAGTAATGAATTTAATGAATTAACAGTTTCAGCAAATCGAGTTTGACCAAGTCTGCCTCATGAATTTCCCAGAATGTCAATAAAACCAAGAAAAATAACACTCAAATACTAAATTCAGCAGCTTAAAATACTACTACTACTTAAACACAAAACAAAGTACAAAAAAACTGATCCAAATGGTCATTTGAACCCACAAAATTACCAAAAGAAATCAAAATAAATCCCTAAAAAAAACAAACACACACACAGCAATCAACTGAGACAATTAAAAAGAAAACAGCAAATAAAAACAACAGAAATACCAATTACAAATTTACTGAACAAAAAAACAGAACAAATTTCCAAAAAAATTGCAAAAATTCAAAATTGAATCACATAATATTAAAGATCTCATCTATTCAACTCACAATTCAATCAATGTCATCAATCTAATGCAAGAAATACCCAGATCTTAGGCTCGAGGCTCGACCCCTCCAGAAAACAGTTAGGTTAGTCACCACAATATGAGCACAAAATACAATAGCCAAGACAATTTTGTGTGAACAAAAACAAGATGAAAGCTGGGCGAAATAAAGGAGTACTTAGCATAAAACTCCTTTTTTGGCATAGTAAAAGTAACACAAACAGACAAACAAGAAATAAATACACAGGGATGTCTGGTTTCAGTAAATCTTACATGATCAAGCAATAAGACATCATCTTCTTTTTCCAATCATGAAAAATCGACGGCCCGTTGACCTGTCACAAGCACTAGCAGCATAATTCCATAACCAAAGACATTTGTCCTCTCTAAGGACTTCCCAGTGGACAAGTACTCAGGTGCTATTCAAAATTTATCGGTATCGATATCCAATTGATCAATTAATCGCTGAAGCATCTAAAAAATATAATTTGGCATTCAATTAAGCAGATCGAACATTCAAATTCATCATGCATGATAGCAAAAATAAGATTGAACATTCAAATTCATCATGCATGATATAAATTATAATCGAAAACAGAATTCATCTTTGTGTGATTGAATTTAATCGAATTTCTTGATTGTTTGGGCATTCATACACGCCTCACCCTACAACAACCCGAAATTCCTGATCAAAACCCAGAATTTCAAATCAAAAACCCAGAAACAGGTATTTGCAAAGCTTGCATGCAGATTAAACGACTAATTGGGATGTTAGAGTAAGTGCGGACTAAAGCATAGTACTGTGACCAAGTACCTATACTGTATTCTTGAGGTTGCAACTGCTTGTCCCGAGCCTTCTCAACCAACTCCTTCCACTTTCCTCAAAGTGTGTAGATATCAACCTACAACAAAAATATACAAAAACAATTAAATGCTTAGAGATAATTTAGTATCTAGCAAAACTATGACTCCTAATTACCAATCAAGCAAAAATCTATGTAAAATTGGACAGTACACAATCCCATTGCTCTTTTGTTTCTGATTGTACAATTGTAAAACTGGCATGTGTATATTGGATTATCAAAGAGTACCAATTACACAAGCAGCAGGGTAATGACTAACATTCAAAAGTCCTTTTTATTTTTTAATTTACTCCTAATTTTCTCTCTCTACGCTCAAAAAACATCCTAATTAGTCGTTTAATCTGCATGCAAGCTTTGCAAATACCTGTTACTGGGTTTTTGATTTGAAATTCTGGGTTTTGATATGGAATTATGGGTTGTTGTAGGGTGAGGCGTGTATGAATGCCCAAACATTCAAGAAATTTGTGGAGAAGAATCAGAAATCAGCGTTTGTTTTTTTTTTTCCACAGTGATATTTATTTTGTTTTGTTTGATGGGGCTGCTTTAATTTTTGTTAAGTAATGTATATTCGTTAATCTCACTACTTCCATGTTTTTTCAGGCTCAGGCAAGTAAAATTAATCATACCTGCCAAGAAAATTCATTTAATTTTTCATAGGAATATATGTTAGATAATGGCTCTTTCATATCTTTTTAAATATTTCACTTGTGAATCCGTGAGAAAAATCACTCCCATTTGTGCTTAATTTATCTTGTGTTATAGATTGTTGTTAATATGTAATGATTTGGGGTTCATATAGTATGAAAGATGAAGGATAAGAATATAGAAATTTGGTTTTTTGGAGTATAGTATTGAAATTTGATCAATGGGATTAATTTATTTCATCTTATATTTGATGGAATATCTTATAATCAGATATTAGACCCCATAACCAGGCATAGAGATTTCTAAAGAATGGTTATAGTTCTGTTAAGCCCACGTAACTAAATAATGTTAAATAAAATTTTTAAATGTTAGTTGAATATCAAGTCTTCCTCTATTATCAAGTAAACGACACTTTGTTTTTTCGGTTCTTAAATTTAAGTTGAAGGGTTAATTTAAAAATCAAAGCCTTGAACTGAGGTTTATGGCTTCAGCTAAAGATCTTGTGGATGTTTATAATAGGATGCATTTGAATTATGATGTTCTCTCTTAGTTAGGAGGATGGTGAATTCCTTTAATAATCTTAAAATTCTCGTGACTTCTAAATTAATGAGAGATACAAATGATAAGGACAATATAATGCCACAAGGAATAATAGTTGTCATATAAATTGCATTATAGTTGAGATACTATAATGCCGAATGAGTCAAGACCACAGTTGTTAGGGTCACATTATTGTATGCACAGAGGTTTGAGTTCCAAGATGCAGAACAATATTGAAAATATTATGGTTTAGCATCAGTATTGTTCTACATCCTGCCTCACTATTTCTGTACTTTCTCCCTTTTGTCACAGATTTTGCTATCTTCCTTTTACTTATCTAATTATTATAAGTTTTATATCCATGGGTTCTAATCAGGTATACAACACTTGATACGAAAGGCTTGCTGGAAACATTTGGAAAGCAAAGCATATAGATAGCTTCAATGTAGCCTAAATACATATCAGTCCGCAACATGTTTTACAAGATGATCAGTAAATTTAAAGCAATGCCTCAAGGCGTAAATGCAATCCTTTTTTGGTACTTCAATACTTTGTCTGATTCAAGCATATGATCATGTTCAAGCGTGAATAACAATTGATGCATAATATACAATATTCCCAGTATGAAATAGACTCTAGAATTACAGAAATCACCCATATCATAAAACCAAAATTACAGATACTCACCCATAAGCCATATCCAGGCAAATCAACATTATACCAACTCTTGTTGATCAGAAAATGATTGATAAGTTGAGTCTTCCCTGCAGATAATTTAACACCCAAATCAAATACAGATTACCAAAGCATTTGAAATAATTATATGCAAAAAACTCCAACAGCAAATCTCCCCTAAAAATCCAATCCAAATTCTTTTTAAACCATATCAAACTAATCACACTTCAATTGTATTTTTCATTGAGCAATTTAAACAGGTGAATATACAGACTCACAATATACAGAAGAGAGCTACATACTATTTTTATAAACAGAATAGGGAAGTATGAAAATACCTATTTAATTTAATTTAGTCAATATACGGACTCACAATCAAGCATGCGATATAGAAAAATCATAATTATTGGAATGAATTTTCCATTTTGGACTATCGCGATCAACTAAGCTGCATCAAACCAAACCGAATTCTTTTTGAACCATATCAAACTAATCACACTTCAGAAACACTTCAATTGTATTTTTCATTGAGGAATTTAAACAAACAGGTGGTGGGCATGAAAGAAAACAAACAAATTAACAAAATCTGGTTTTTTTGAAGTCAAAGCAACCTTTTTCTTCTTAACAAGAGTATTAATAAGCGAAGATTTCCCAACATTAGATCGACCAAGAACAGCAAACTCAGGCAACCCATCAATGGGGCAATCCTTAGCCCTACTACTACTCTTCACAAACGCAACTTTCCTTGATCTGAGAATGACCCGCATAAGGTCCGACAACTTTAATCTAATTAATCACATTTAACTCAAAATTTTCAGCTGTTAATTTGCATGATATAATAACGATTGAAAAATCAATTACAAAAAAAAAAAAAAAAAAAAAAAAAAAAAAAAAAAAAAAAAAAACCAGTACTAATCAAACACTCTCAACTTTACACACAGATCCATCAAAACAACACTCAATTCAATCCAAAGTAAACCTCAAAACAATTATACGAATTCTCAAAAATCAAAGAAAGAAACAGAATGTTAATCCATTACTATTTGAATCAAATTAAACGACAAAAACACAAAATAAAAAAACAAAAAATTCAAATTTGAGTTCCAGATCCTACTGAAATCAATCAAATTCAAAATTCAATAAAACAAACCTGAAAATCAATCGAAGAAAAGATCTGAAAAATCACCCAACAAAAAAAATTGCTTAAAAATTCAGAAAAATACAAATTCAACAGAATAATTGAAGAAATTCGATTTAATTTTAGCGATTTAACTGATACCTTTAAGCTGCTTTTGGAGGAGAAGAGATGCTTGAGAAGGTGAACCCATGGGAAGAGAGAAAGAAGAAAAAGTCTTTGAATCTGCATGCAAGCTTGAAATTGAGAATAATTACTTACCAAAAAAGTAACTCACTGCATGAATAGCAGATCGGAGTAATTGACAATAATCAAACAATCCAGGGAACCACCGCTACCACCACCGCCCTTATCCCACCGTTCAAGTATCTTCTACCCTCACTCCGAGCAACCCAACGAAAAATTCTGACCTCAGAAGCAGCTTCAATTCAATGAAAGAACCAGCTCAGGAGCCGCTTCCATGGAGAGTGAAAATTCGGTTCAGAGGAGAGAGAAAGAACAAGCTCAGGAGTAGCAGAAATGAACGCATGCAAGGGTATTCTCAAAAAAACAAACAAATACCTAACCCACCCAAAAAAACACATGCCTTAAAACAAGCTAAAAGTTAAATATTTCATACTATTAAATCTCTACCTTATAAAAAGCAGAAAGTTGTTCTTATGAATAGTGCACGGACTTTTATACCCTTTAAAATGTTACTTTACCTTTGTACCCCTATTTACTCTTTAAAATGTGTTTTACCTTTTTATTCCTATTTGTAATTTTGTACTCCAACAATCCAACTTCAAATTGTTCTTACCCGTCTACATTTCCTTACACATTTGAGCTTTCTCTCCTCCTCTCCATGACTCCATCTCTTGAAAGTTTTTAACTTTCTCTCTCCACACTATCATTGTCAATCCAAGTACTAAATTCCAGATCTTTGTTCACCACCTTCCCAAAAATTCCAAATCAAATTGTGGCCAAAAAAAGTTGACAATACCAATATATAGCGGTTGTTTAATATTGTTAGCCTCTGTGGTGTATTAGGAATTGGTCGTTTCGGTTTCATCATTGATGATTCTTTCTCTATTTCGTATTGTACACCACAATTAAGTAATGCTAACATCAACACAACGAAAATAAACAAACAACAATTCTAACATTTGTTCCTTTTCTACATTATCATTGAAAAACCTAAGAATTATATTCTACTGTGACTCTACATAGTATTCCAATTAAAAGAATCACCATATACAAATAATAAAAATAAAGATTTTTTTCAATATACGAGATATTTCACAGGTAACAATCAACTTAGCACGACTACAAACAAACAATGCCTAAGCAATAAAAATACTACGTATATTCCTTTGTCGATCTTTTATTCCTCCATGTGAAGTGCAAACACAAGACGAATAAAATTAAGTTGCAAAGGCTAGCCATTTCGCGCGCAACGCGCGTGTAGACACCTAAAAATGTCTCCCCAAAACCAAACCCGATGATGAACAACCTTTCACCGCCATTATTAGTCGGGTTGAGTATGTAATCTTTGGAGTGCTTAAATCCATGTTCATTCCCAAAACATTTCATAAACCAACCCAATTTCTAGCCCATTTCCCCAATTTATAACTTATTTTCCTCTTTTAATGCCTTTAAACCCAAAATAATTCATTTCGTGTCCTTTAAAATCATTCATTTTGTATCCTTTTATAAAACATTTAATCCAGTTTATTTTGGTCCATTATCTGGGTTCAATGGTTGAATAGTTGGATGAATCTTTAAAAGAGATTTCCAACGATATGTTATAAACCCAAATCCGAGTTATAACGAATAAGTTATGGCCAAAATATTAAACTGAGCCCAAACCGAACCTAAGCCCACCTTATCTACGACCCAATGATCATGTGGAGGGTCCAAATTATTTAATCCCATTCCTAAACCAATTAGGATTAATTAGAAGTTTCTAAAAGATCTTGATTATCCTTTTTGAAAAAGATAAGATTAAATAGTTTGAAATTGAATAAAACTCCTTTTTTTGAAAGTCCTAATTCTATTCGAATCGAAACACGTTCAAAGATAGACAAATATTATTTTCGTGCCTCATAGTTTTTATCCAAATTTTATATGGTTGGATAGCCCTTGAAATTATCTTTCCAATGATATATTATAATATCAATTCCGAGCTATAACAGAAAAGATATGAATAAAATGTCATCAAACTCTATCCAAAACTAATACCGTCTCACTATTTCGTCTATATCTTTTGTTCTACAAAATATTTTAATCTGATTTTAATTGGGTTAAAAAGTAGACTTCAAGAGCTTTCCAACAATATCTTATTCATCTTATTCCGATTTCTGAATCAAAAGATATGATAAAAACAAAAACCACAAAAACTGTTGTCTATCGAGTTTTATTCTGATTTAATTCGGATCTTATCTTAAATTTTCGACCCTTCTTTTTTCTTTATAAATAGAGGTCATATCTCCCCTTTTTTCAAACATCAACAATCTTGATCACAAAATCATTCTCTTCTCCCTCTTTAGCCTAAATACTAATCTCCCTATTCTTCAATAATACTTCCCCTAAGTACTCCAAGGAGTCCATACAATACCCGAAGTTCTATACTTTATCCAAGGCGTGAAAGGTATAATTGATTGAGGGTTTGGACCAAATCAAATCTAATCTTTATTTAATTTAATTTTTATTTGCTTTATATTTTTATTGAAGTTACTAACAGTTTATTCATGATGTAGCAATTTAAAGGAAACGCGGAAAGTGAGTAATTATTCACTTAATTACTCTTATTTTATTCTTGTTGCTAGTATCATGATTAGGGTTATTAATATTATTTGATTTGACTAACACTATTATTATTAAATTGCTTCCAATATTAATTTTTATTCTATTGTTATAATGATCACTATATTGCATGTTTAAAGGGAATATGTAATTGAAAATCACGCCTAATAAGATAATTTGGACAACCGGTTTAGGTTCCTTTTTAATCTTGAGATCGCAGGAATCACTTTTCACAATAAGAATCGAGTAGAGGCCAATACGGGCGAATGTGACTCCATGACTCACTTCGTACCATCATCCCCGATCCTCCTTTCGTGGTTCCGAACCATGTGTAGTTAGTAATCTCATGGATTATGAATGAGGTGTAACCTTCACGGGTCAATCGTTGTTGCCTTCGTTGTCCCTTTATCGTGGTTGCCTTTTATGATCCGTGAACGGTTTACAAGTTCCTTAAAAACTTATTAGCGGCTCCCTACTTTTCCTTGTCCCTAATCGTATTATGTCAATTCCCACTTCCTATGAGTGCCAAGCATATTCACACATGCTTTAACGTAGGCGCACTTCGAGCGACGCCTACAATTTGGCGACTCCACTGGGGAGGATTCTTGGTTAATTATCGATTTGAGTGATCGATATTTAATTAAGTTGAGTGGATGAGACTTGAAAGATTCTTGAAAAATATTCCTGTGATTAATTTGGCATTTTTGCATATGCATTTTAGATTACCTATTTTGCTACAATAGTACGTGTTCTACGTATGTGGCTAGCCCGGGGAATTTAAGCTCTATCAACCCAAAAACGCTCATGGAAATAAGGGTTCATCCGAGTTTTTAAATCCACCCAAACCATGGAGTCGAGTTCGATTTCATCACGAACTCGCAGAGCCGCCCGTTGGCATACACCCTCAAGGGAGGCTGCTTTGCTAACGCGTCCAAACTCTTAACCATGGTACCCTTTGACACCCTTTTAAGCTTGACCATAGTCGAACATAGAACTTGACTTTAGGTTGCGAACTTCATTGCATCATTCGTGACAATGTGCTTATATGTGCCTTTTTTTGACTTTTTATTCATTTATTTTTTTCTCTTATCAATTCCTTTTTTTTATTATTAGAGTCGAGCCATAGATTTTTTTTTTTTTTTAATTTTTAAGTCACCCGGATTTTTATTCCCGTATATTGCACAAGAGTCAATTTGTTTTGGTCATAGCCGGAGTTCTAGAAAGAGTTACGTGTCGTGACACCTATGGATCTCTAGCCCCAAGTTTTATCTTTCATTTGGAGTTAGTTTCGTCCAAATCAAAGTCACAGATCAAAAGTTATAACCGATATACTACAGCCTGTCCAGTTTAGATGTCTTTTTAGCGTTACCTTTTTATATTTTTTATTTTTTTAAAAAAAAATCGTGACAAGCTAGTCTTACCCGGTCCTTTAATCCGTGTCAACTCGTATAACATAGGATTATAGATTTTTATTTTTATTTTATTATACCCATGAGTCTTAAGTCTTCTAGAATTCTAGTCCTCTTCCTAGTTTCTTGTGATCGATTTTTGTACCTTAACATGTGTTTTTTGTCTTTGATTGTGGTTGTTCTCATTTATGACTAATGATTGCCAATAGAACGTTTTCACCTGGTAAAAAGCATAAACATTAAAATTGGACAAAATTAATCAAGTTAGTGTGTCTTTTAGTCTTCCGTGCTATTTGGTCATTGGGTCCTTTGTTTTTCACAACGTCCTCATGTCTAGCCATGCGATCATACCACGAGTCTTAATAAACTCACCTAATCACACATGTTGAGTCGTTTCACACACTTTGTCTCCGAGTAATGCACTATATTGTTTATGATCGTATATTAGGACCATGCATGCGTCGTTTTCCGTCGTAATAGGAATGAGAGGAGTTTTTCCCATCAGTTTTTAAAATTCTTTCATACACTCTTCCTTTCCAATCCGAGTACCAGGTGACAAGACGTAATTCATAAGAAATCATGAAGACGAAGCACAAGACAAGTTCCCATATAAGATTTCATGGTTTTTTTTCCTTCTTTCGTTTCAACCCTTTTCTCCTAATAAGTCTAGCATAGGTTCTCCTTATCCTTATGGGTATATGCCAAGTTCCATTAATGAGTAGTTCTTTTCCTTTGCATTCTATCATGTCATTCGCCAAAAAAAAAAAAAAAAAAAAATCAATTACCGAACTAAACACAAGGTACACCAATGACTTGAGGCACCTTTGCAACCCTGTCATTCCCTGTTAACCGTTCAATCACATATCCATTTCTTCATCAACCACTTTGAGCCTCGTCTAACGTTTGACCTTTTTTATTCAACCCACATTCACTTAACCCTAGAATGGGAAGGTGTGTAATTGTATAACATTCAAAAAGCAAGTAAAAAAAAAAGTAGCAAAGCAACAATAAAACAATGTCTAAGGGCAAGTGTTCCAATGTCTTTGATATGAACACGTCTCAAATTGCGTCTCTCATTGAGTGCTTGCTACCGTGCCTGAGAAACATGAATGCTAAGTGAGTGAAGGACCGCATGATCTGAGATTGCCCACATTGATTAAAAAAATGAAAATAAACTTGCAAAATTCAAAATTTTCAAATTCACAATTACACATCTTGGGTATTCTCTCGGGTCTTGAACCTTGTACCCCTTTCTTCCTTAAACCTTCAGCTTAACCACCTTACAACCCTTGAAAGACCTCTTTGAGGTGTACACACACTTGTGCAAAGTTCGGTTAGAGCTACGTTGGCCTGATTCCTAACGGATACGTAGGCAACCTCACATCGAGGTGCGGCCACATTCACATTCATATCCACATTCACATTCATATCCACATTCATATTCATATCCATGCATGATCGAGTCAAAGAATATCCAATTCTTACCCCTACCCATTTAGAGCTAGACTTGGGGGCTTGAACCCACATCATTTAGCCTACCCAGTCTAAAGAGTCATCATCTTTGACTCTTCTCACATCTCTTTCCATCGCCATAACCCTTGCAGCCAGCCTTAGTATCACATTCACACACTTCAATCACACATCCATATCCATATCAATCATCTTTCCCTTTAAGAACCCTTTTTCAAGAAATCTTGTTTC